CAGTCGAGGTCAGGGCTCGGGTGGAGGCAGGGTGCTCGGGCCCGGCAGCACTGAGTGGATCTGCTGGGGAGGGTGCGGTGCGGGGCTGCGGCCTGTTTTCTTCTTAGGCAGTGGTCAGCTTACCAGTGGAGAGAGCCCAGCTGCCATCCCCCAGTCATAACAGCCCCCGAGCACAGCACATCATGCTGTGGACGCAGCAGGACGTGGCGTGCACCCCCCCTCCCCGCAATGCGCCCTTGGCGGCCACACCTGTGTAAGGAGCCACAGGATGAGAGGCCCCAGGGAAGAGCATCTTCCTGGCATTGACCTCAGGCCTGCAGGTGGCCGGTGGGGGGAAGCAACGGCACCAGGTGGGCAGAGGCAGGGACCACTGTGGGTCAGAGGCTCCTCAGAGCAGCCACCCAGCTGGCCTCACACCCAGGACGGGAGCTCGCTGGCTCCCTGGAGCCCTAGGTGCTCGCAGGTGCAGGCCAGGCTCGGACACAGGCGCTGTGGCCTCTCCAAAGGCAAGCATCCCTCTCCTGCTCGGGCCTCCGCATCCAGGTCCCACGCACACCTCTCGGAGCACTGGGACCAGCGACACCCATGCGGGGCCCTGTGCCCGAGGCTCCACCTCAGAAAACAGACCCTTGAGGACAAGCACACGGGGCACAGCCATGGCCACCTAACCGTGGCAGAGTCACCGGGGCGTGTGCCGCTGGTCTGGACGTGTGGAGGACCCTCCACAGCTCCACAGGAGAGCCACATCCTGACGTGCCCCGCAGCACACCCCACGGGCACAGCAGTGTGGGTGCCAGGAGCTCGAGGTCAGCCCCCACCTCAGGGCACCAGCAGCAAGCCCCATACCAGCTTCCCAGTGCCCAGCCGTCCAGAGGAAAGGCTGCCCACGGCCCCACGTCCGTCCTCCATAGACCCCTGTCCTGGAGCCCGGCCGTCCAGAGGAAAGGCTGCCCCAGGCCCCACGTCCATCCTCCATGGACCCTGTCCTGGTGCCCAGCTGTCCAGAGGAAAGGCTGCCCACGGCCTCACATCTATCTCCCCAGGAGCCTTGTCCTGGTGCCCTGCCGTCCAGAGGAAAGGCTGCCCACGGCCCCACGTCCGTCCTCCATAGACCCCTGTCCTGGAGCCCGGCCGTCCAGAGGAAAGGCTGCCCCAGGCCCCACGTCCGTCCTCCCAGGACCCCTGTCCTGGAGCCCGGCCGTCCAGAGGAAAGGCTGCCCACGGCCTCATGTCCATCCTCCCTGGAGCCTTGGTGAACACCAAGGCTTGCTGGGTTGGTGGCTGCCCCCACCAGCACAGCACCAGGTGCTGCCCTCAGGAGCTTGCAGAGCAACCCCAGGTGGGCGCAGGCTTTCTGGCAGGGACTCCGCAGCTGTCAGGCCTTCAGGTTTGGTGCTGAGCCGCGCACCGAGGTCCGGCTGATGCCCAGCCAGCAGGGAGGCCATTCAGGTCCTCTGCAGCAGACGGAAGCAGATGGCTCTTTGCTTTGGACTGGAGGGTACGTGGAGGCCCTGGGGTGGGAGCTCCCAGAGGCCACGGCCTGATCAGAGTGTGCAGGAGGCAGCGTGGACAGCTGACCACAGTGACACTACATGGCTTTCCCCAGCAGGCCCTGCTGGCTTCGGAGGCCAATTCAGACTCTCCTCTAGTTGTGAATGTCACCCTGAAAACCAGCTCCTCACACAACACAGCTGGAAGCCGATTCCCGGGCCGCCCTGGCCTGCAGCAGGGTCCAGGGTCCTTGAAGGGCTGCCCTCAGGGCACAGGAGAGGCTTTCTCCTACAAGCACCCAGCTGGCCTCAAAGGGAACAGAGCCAGTCTACCAGGGCTGCAGCCCCACCCAGTCACCTCCCTGGGGCTCCCTGGTAGCACCCTGTAGGTCTTTGTGGTCTCCTCCCTACCCCACCTCTGCAGGAGAGTGGGCAGGGGGGAGGTCCCTGCAGGAGGGTCTGTGGGCAGGGGGGAGGTCCCTGCAGGAGGGTCCGTGGGGAGGCGGGAGGTCCCTGCAGGAGAGTCCGTGGGTAGGGGGGAGGTCCCTGCAGGAGAGTCCATGGGGAGGCGGGAGGTCCCTGCAGGAGGGTCTATGGGGAGGGGGGAGGTCCCTGCAGGAGAGTGGGCAGGGGGGAGGTCCCTGCAGGAGAGTCCGTGGGGAGGGGGGAGGTCCCTGCAGGAGGGTCCGTGGGCAGGGGGGAGGTCCCTGCAGGAGGGTCCGTGGGCAGGGGGGAGGTCCCTGCAGGAGGGTCCGTGGGCAGGGGGGAGGTCCCTGCAGGAGGGTCCGTGGGCGGGTGGGAGGTCCCTGCAGGAGGGTCCGTGGGCGGGTGGGAGGTCCCTGCAGGAGGGTCCGTGGGCGGGTGGGAGGTCCCTGCAGGAGGGTCTGAGGGCGGGTGGGAGGTCCCTGCAGGAGGGTCCGTGGGGAGGGGGGAGGTCCCTGCAGGAGGGTCCGTGGGGAGGGGGGAGGTCCCTGCAGGAGGGTCCGTGGGGAGGGGGGAGGTCCCTGCAGGAGGGTCCGTGGGCAGGGGGGAGGTCCCTGCAGGAGGGTCCGTGGGCAGGGGGGAGGTCCCTGCAGGAGGGTCCGTGGGCAGGGGGGAGGTCCCTGCAGGAGGGTCCGTGGGCGGGTGGGAGGTCCCTGCAGGAGGGTCCGAGGGCGGGTGGGAGGTCCCTGCAGGAGGGTCCGTGGGCAGGGGGGAGGTCCCTGCAGGAGGGTCCGTGGGCGGGTGGGAAGTCCCTGCAGGAAGGTCTGTGGGCAGGGGGGAGGTCCCTGCAGGAGGGTCCGTGGGCGGGTGGGAGGTCCCTGCAGGAGGGTCTGAGGGCGGGTGGGAGGTCCCTGCAGGAGGGTCCGTGGGGAGGGGGGAGGTCCCTGCAGGAGGGTCCGTGGGGAGGGGGGAGGTCCCTGCAGGAGGGTCCGTGGGCGGGTGGGAGGTCCCTGCAGGAGGGTCCGTGGGCGGGTGGGGTTCTCTGTGCTGGACTGGCCGTGGGTGGGCAGGAGGGTCCTATGCTGCCAACAGCCTCCTTGGCTATTGCCCAGACCCCGTGTGAGGGGCTGCCAGCCCCCCAGTCCTGGCTCTCCACAGCAGAACCCTCCTCTGCCCTCTTCCTCCCGGCCCCTGCTGTCCATGCTCAGCAGTGGAACATGGACCTTGTGAGGCCCACTGTGACCCGGCCTCCAGGTGCCTCTCTATGGGAGGACAGGATCCCTCACCCCACCACAGAGCCCCTTCCCACAAGCTTCCGGCCGGCTCTTCCCATCGGGGGTCTACAGAAGCTTCTGGAAGTCGCCCTGAGCGCTCTCTGCCCAACCTCGAGGCCACTGCCCGTGCTGCTCGGGGGCTGTGGTGTCTTCTTCCTGGGCTGGATCTGGAAGCGCAGCAGGCCCCCGACACCCGCCCTGGCTCAGTGAGGGAGTTTCCCTGTGTCCACTTCCTTCCTCCTGCCCCCGAGTCCCGGATAGTCAGGCGCCGGCCAGTGCCTCCCTTCTGGTGCTCTGCTGGCCAACTGCACCCTCGGGAGACGCTGTTCAGGGCACGGCCGGCAGACACCCACCAGCCGGCAGGGACTCCGCGGCTGGAAGGCACGCCCTCTAGTTCTCTCCACACAACCCTGGTCTGCGGAAGCCCCGAGTTTGATGACGGTGTGTGAATGCCAATGTGTCCTCAGAGAGTGGCGTCCACGAGGGACCCAGGAAGACCCAGAGCTGGCCACTGAGGCCAGGAGCTCACCTGAACGACTCTGCCCCCTGCTGACGCTGATGGTTGTCACAGTGTGGGGAGGCCAGCTCCACCACCAGGTCAGGACGGGGCCACCCCAGGGCACAGGCCCAACGTGCACCCTGCTGAGGCCGGGGGATGCTGAGCTGGGGCCTGAGGGTCTGGAGCCCACCCCCGCTGCTGTGTGAGGAGTCCTGCACACCGCAGTCAGGTCAGTTCAGCCCCTGCCCAGGTGGGCAGCAAACCCCCAGAGGGACTGGCAGAGACTGCTGCGCAGGCCAGGGCCCACAGTCCACCACCCACAGACAAGCCACAGCACGTGCCCCAGGCAGGGGAGCACAGGAGCCGGGGCCTGTGCCAGGCGAAGCCCAGGCAGTGAGTGCAGGGGCAGCAGCACTGCACCATCGCTGCCCGGCCTCGCACAGCCCACCTGGTGCCCCATGAGAACCTGCCGCAGTACCAAGAGGACCAGCCGCCGGTCCAGCAGGAGGCTGGCGGAGCCCTCAGTGAGCCTCGTCCACCTCCCTCTCTCTCTGCCCTGGTGGCCAGGGGCTACGGGCAGGGAAGCCTCCCAGATCTGTGTCTGATGAGGGATCTGCACCCAGAACCCCGTAGGGACCCTCACCACTCAACCGTGAGCAGCAGAGGACCCAGAAGACGGGTCTCTAAAGACGTGGAGTGGCCAGTGAGCCAGGAAATGCCCAGCATTGCTGGCCATCAGAAGTGCCACAGGGAGATGCCACTCACAACACCAGGATGGCCGGAGGGACAGAAGCCACAGGGTGAGGGGCCGGAGCCTCCCTCGCTCACATGGTGGGAAACCAAGTGTGGTCTCTGCACATGGAAAACTGCCGCTCAGCCGCAGAGGAAAGGCACCCGCCTGCTAAGGGAAGGGCCTGGGGCTGCCGCAAGACCCCTGGCTGCACACAGGGCCCACCCCCAGGGCAGCTGGGTGGGAGTGGCTGCGCGTGGCCCTGGGCGGCCTCCTCTGGAAGGTACTGGAACCACCTGACCCTGTACATCAAAGGCAGGACTTTTGGTATGTGAACTGCACCTGAGCAGAGCCGTTTTCAAGATGGAGTGAGTTCTGAGCAGGCACCCTGCCCCTCAGCCGGCCCCCCTGCACAGCCACACAGAGCCCCGCACGAGCCTCGCCCCAACCAGGGCCGGAACCTGCAGCCTGGGTGCCGGGTTTCTGTTGGTGACTAAAAGGCTCAGGGGTCACTCCAGTTGAACTGGGCTGACTGGGCTGTGCCAAATGACCACACAAGAGACACAAACACCTTTTTCTTTGGGGTCGCTGTGACGGCTCCTCTGACCTGAAGGGTCCGCAGGAAGAGAGAGAGCGAGAGCACGCGCTGACCCCTTTTATTGAGGAGAAGCTCTTCAAATGAGGCCAGGGGTCAGGTTTCAGGGGGCTGAGTATCTTCATGATGTCCACTGTCAGCAGGTTGACTGACACCTGGGTAGGCCACACCCCAGGGCAAGGTAAGAGAAGGGGACACACACAAGGCACTTCCATGGAAGATTCTGTCCTAAACAGGGCAAGGGGTTATGTTACAAAGGAACAGGGGAGCGTGGCTTCACCATGGGGCTGTAGCAAGACACACCCAGGCACGAGACACCCAAGAAGGGTGGGGAGAGCTCTGCCACATTTCTGTGACTGAGCGCCTCAGCACCCAGGCGGGGAGTGTGACCCAGTCACATGCAAGGTTGGTCTTCCACACCTGAGACCGCCAGAGGCCCTGCGGTGCCCAGCGCTGGCTCTCCCCAGACCTGACCTCCTCACTCACCAGGCCTTGCTGGAGACCTGCAGGCCTCCTAGCACTGCACAGACCTCAGCCCCCTGTTCCTTCCATCTGCGTCTGGAAGTGCCATGTCCTGCTCAGGTACCTGTCCTCCCCCACGCCAACCCCCTCCTGCTCGCCAGCACCCCCTGCTGGCGCTCAGTCCACAGGAAGCCCAGGACACCCTGGTCACCTCTGAGCCCAGACCAACCCACCCAATATTTCATGTATCCCAACAGCATTTCTTGCCTAATCTTTAAAAACAGACTATGTTTTTCTTAAAACAATAAGTAAAGGCAAGGTGCACCTTGGTTCCCAGGGTTTGCCCAGAGCTTACTACCACCCCAGAAAGCCTCATGATGACATTAAGGCTGATAGTACGTCCAGTCACCTGCATCCATACCTGCGCCCATCAGCACTTACATACACCTGTCATGCTCCTCAGGACCCATGTCCACACCTGTGCCCATCTGCACCTCTGTCCACCCATGTCCACACCTGTGTCCACCTGTGACACTCCTTGGGTCCTGTGTCCATTTGCACATCTGCTATACCTGAGATCACCCATGAGGCTCTGTGCGCATATGGGGGACCCAGTGTAGAGGCCCTTCTCCTGTGGTGGCCTTGCAGACCCCCAGTGGGACAAGGGGCACGGGGATGAACCTTCCTGCAAGTCGCTCCTTGTGGGTCACGAGGCTGTGCTTGGCTGATGTGCAGCCTGCAGATGTTCCTCTGCGAGGAGGTACCTCTGTGGCTCTGGGGGCTTATGTGGGTGGGTGTCCCCCAGAGCTGGCAGGATGCACCCGCGACACGCTCCGGCCTCAGGCTGCTGCTCCAGCTCCCCTGACCCAGCCTGCTCAGCAGGTCATGCTAGTCCTCACGGTCACAAGAGGGCTGCCACCCCTCCACCACCATGCCAATGCTAAACAGGAGAAGGGAGGCCCGTGTCTCTGAAAGAAGCCACCTTCCCCCCAGGCAGGACCCTCTGCAGCACTTCCCGGGACACCTGCCGAGAGGTCATCACACAGGCCGGGCAGCAGGGCAGCTTCCACTGGAGGGAGAGGAATGGACACAAGGGTAGATGCAGTCTCCTCCTCCCTGAGGACACACTGAGGACCATGTGGCCCTGGCGCCTGTCCCAACACACTCAAGGTCACGGCCTCCCCAGATGGGCTGAGCAGTGGAACTGGTCCCATGCCCTGGCGGTGTGCAGCAGTGAGCTGAGGCCCAGACGGGTAACAGGCGTCACCCGTGGCCAAACGATCACAGGGTGATCAGCAGAGGCCACAGCTTCCCAGGCCACTTGCGTGCGGAGCAGGGCGCGGCACAGGAAGACTGTAGGCCTGACGGGGACAGCACCAGGCAAGCACGGCCTTCCAGGGCCGCAGGCTGCCCGAGCCTCGGCAGGTCCCCTGGGCATGCCCCACCTGAGACTGACCCCGCCTGCCAAGGGGAGGGCGAACGTGCCCGCCCTGCGGTGCCTCCCCCGGGCAGGGGTGGCAGGCGGGCTTCACCTCTGGAATCCCCGGGTTCCACGTGGCCACTCTGGCTTGATGCCCCTGGCGGTCCTCTCAGGGGACCGCTGTCCAGGAGCAGGTGGGCGTCACCAGCTTCTCACTGCGGAGAAGATCAACTTAAAGGAGGAAAGGTTCATCTTGGTTCATGGTTTCAGAGGTTTCAGCCCAAGGCCACCTGGCTCCCAGGCAGAGACATGGCAGAAGGGCGTGGAGAGGGAGGAACGGAAGCAAGGAGGGGCAGGACGTGGTCCTCCAGCCAGGGGTCACTCCTGCAGTGTCCACCGCCAGCATCCATCCAGCTCTGAGCCCACCCAGGGGTTGATCTAGGGGGTCGGAGGCCCGGACGCGCCCACCTCCCAGAGGCCGCCTCTGCACTCTGCTGCTCTGGGGACAATCCTTCATCACACAGCCTTGGGGGGGTCACTCCAGGTCCAACCACAGCAGTGTGCTCAGAAGTCACAGCCCCGTAGGAAGAGGAAACGTCCGTCCAAGTTAGACAGTGCCCAGGTCTTGGGCCACCGGTGCGTGGCATAAACAAAGTCACACCTCACGCCACACTGCGGCCACTGTGTTGAGAGCGATACCCACAGACTGGATGGGAGTCTGACTGCAAACAGGAATTGTAACTACCAACATCATGGGACGTCCTCAACACGGCCCATTCAGGAAGAGTGCTCAGAATCAGCACGAGGTCTCAAAATCACACAGTCATCTATTTTGGCGCAGCCCCGAGACCCACTGAGAGCTGACCCACATAATCGACGGGCAGTGAACTAAAGGAGGTGGCCAGGACCCAATAGGACATCAGTGCTGCCTGTGCCCTGTGTGACGATGGCCGTGACTGCCCAGAGGCCATCTGGCTCGCCCCCGGGCCCAGCAGAACTCTGCACTGAGCCCAGCTCAAGCCTGGCCCATCTACTCTGCATGGGGCAGGGTGCCCTCAGAGACACGCCTCGGGCAGAGCCAGCCAGGGCACGTCCACACTGAGTCCAAGGTCTGCAGGGAGGGGCCAGGGTGCTTCTGAAGACTGCGGTACTGAGGGGGAAAGCAGAGCGCCTCCGGTGCTGGGGGTCCAAGTGCTACAGCTGATGCACTGGAGCTAGACCGTCGGCCTGGAGGACTTGACCACCTGTGGACACCGGCAGCCCTCCCTGCAGAAGGCCTCTCCCCAGCCTTGCACCACGCTGCCCGACATCTGTGCATCGCTGTGTGCTGGTGGGGCACACCCACCCCACTCAGAGCCTGAGCAGCAGCAGGGCTCAGGCAGGTGGGGTCCAGCATGCTGCCCACATGCCACTGGGCATAGGACAGTGTCCACTGGAGACCATGGGCCCAGAGGCCAGCAGCACAGGAGGCTGCTCTGGGGACCTGCCTGGCTGGCCACCTCCCCCTGCCTTGGACTCAGTGCAGGCCCTTGGATGCCCCCACCTGATCTGAACTCTGTCTCCTCGGGCACAGAACGGAGTCGCTTTCCTGTTGTCCTGTGACACGTCAGACAGGTGAACTCACAGTGCCCAGGGATGGAACCGCAGGTGGCGTCTCTGTCCTCAGTGTCATCGCTCCTCCTTTCTCACAGAGCTGCGCTGCTTGTGGGCCACTCATGTCCATCAGCCCTCCTGTCCTCAGCAGCTGCAGCTGTCCCCTGTCCAAGCACTGGGCCCACACATCCGGCTCACTCGAGCCAGAGGACCTGCCCGGCCCTGGCCCTCTGCCTGGGACCTCAGACGCCCCCCAGGGCCGAGATCTTACCACCTGACCCCGATGCTGCAGCCGCCTGGGAGGTGTTTGCAAGGTGACTGCCACACAAGACAGGCGTCCATGTCCTCGCGGGTGCGGAGACCAGCGGCGTGTCCACTTCAGGCTGGCCTTCAGTCTAACACAACTACACCAGAGCCCTTCCTCCACGGTCTTGGGTTCCAGGTCCTGGGCCTGTTGGCCAGCCTTGCAGGCAACACCTGTGACAGGCACCTGTGCCCCACAACCACACAGCCCACGGCCAGCCCAGCCAGGCCGTCTGCACTGCGGGAAGGAGCCCTCAGCTTCCAAACAAAGGTGAAGTCGGCCCGACGACTCGAGCCCTGGAGCTTCAGAGGGCCACTTGGCAGGTGTGGCCAGTCCAGGTGTGGCACCTGTTCCCCCCGGGCATGCTGCCGGGACTTCAGCTGCTCCCAGACCAGGAGGCGTCTTTGCCCCTTAAGTGGGCTCCACCAGATCCCGAGTTGTCTGCACAGAAGCCACGACCTCCTCCTCCCTGCAGCCGGCACTGGCGGAGCCTTCCCAAATGCCCGTCGACAGCGCTGAGTGCAGACGCCACCGGGAACAGCATCTGCTTCCTGGGCTGGGAGCCCCAGGATCCCAGCCCAGGGGCTTGGGGAACAGCAGCTTCCTACTGCACGCTTCTGGAGGCTAGAAACAGATGAGCACCGCAGGGTCGGGGCAGTCTGCCCACCGCTCCCTGCTGGCCTTCGCTGCAGCCCCTGTCCCCATCTCTGCCTGTCTCCATTCTGTGTCTGTCCTAATCCCCTCTCCTAGGAGGACGCAGCGTGTAGGGACAGGCCACCCCTGGCACAGCAAGACCTCATGGTGACCAATGACATCGTCAACGACCCTGTTCTCAAAATGGTCACATTCACAGGTGCTGGGCTGGGACCATGTGTGAATGTTGGGGACAATCCTGGGCAGCTAGCTGTGTCCCCATCTGGTGACGCTGCCACATGGTTACAGAGCTGGAACCTTCCGGTAACTGAGGCGGTGTGAAGACCCCCCCCCCAGCCCCTGTTCTTGCAATCAAGTCAGAAAGATTTCAGACGTGGCTCCGAGTGACAGGCATGTTTATTAGAAGGGATGGAAAAGGGAAAGGGGACACTCTCAAGGGCCAGAGTGGGTCTTCTCAGAGAGGAGAGGGACAATGTACAGTTTTACTGGGGTCCCAGGGAAGTTTCCAGAGAGTCCCGCCCAGGTCCACCTCTTGACTTTTGACTGACAGCAGAGCGACATCAGGCTTTTGAGTCCCCGTTGCTATGGCAACAGGTTTCATAGTTAGGAGGAACTCTCCTTATCTCCCAGAGTTTCAGGATCTGGCCACAAGTCTCCTGGGTTCCTCCTGAGGACATTATCTTGAGCCTGCATTTCTCCTGCAGTCAGCAGGTAGTTTGCTGAGGAATGTGACATGTCCTGTCCACTTAGGCCAGGAGGGCTGCGTGGAGAAGAACCTCAGTTCCCACACGGGCG